GGTGCGCTCACTTCGCCGCAAAGACCCAACACGGGATGATAAAACTAGGAAACAGAGACCGCTAGAATGTGAACGCACCGCTAAAGGGGTCGGATTTCAGATGCCAGCACTGTATGTGCGGGAGACACTAAAAAGTTAGGGTGCCAGGTTCCAATGAATGGAATGTAGTACCTTGTGTTTGGCGCAGCTTGAACGTAATCATGGATAAATCCGGAAAATGCGAAAAAAAATTCAAAAAGTCCTGTGGAGGACCCAACGTAGGAAACAGCTTTCCTACGGAAATCCGCAGGGAGATTTACGTATGAAAGTTGCCCTCGCTCCCCGGCGCGTACAACATACGGATTTTCATACGTGATTACGTAGAGCGAAACCTCCCTAATAGGCTATTCATACTACGTTACAATACGCGTCATGTTTTGGAATACGATGTACTGGCAGACGTCGTTTTCATGCCGGTGCATTCACACAGGCACGTATACGCTTTTCGTACAGCTGTGTGTACAGCTTCTTTTGGACACCAACTGCCGGGAACGACAGAACGAACCTCGGTACAGGAGTCTGGATACATCGTCCACGTTTTCGTATCAAGGGTACGATTTTCCCGCCACGTTCCATGTTGTCATGGCTATCCGGACGAAAACGTCTCGTACGCCACGTTTTGGGCGTAGTGTGAATGGCCCATATTCATGTGACTGGCCGAGGCGCTTATTACTAGTTTGTGAGCCCTAAAAAGTCATCCATTTTGAAAAATCCACACGAAAGCCCCGAAGTGATGTGGCACTTATTTCAGACAGGCGGTAATAAAAGACCAGCGCTAATTTCCGAAAATATGTTAACACATTATGTGGTCATTCTTCTCCTGAAATGAGGGCAAATAGAGGACTAACAGCATGCTACAGAGGGGAAAAACTTGTGGCCATTACCGGCCCGACAAATACTTCACTACTACTCCTCCTGGATGAGAATTAAACTCCATAAAACAGGCCCCATCGCTGCGGTTTGTATTTTTTTTAACTGTACTCCGGGCCAATTGTGTCAAGTCAGGTCGACGGGGAAAGTGCGAGCTCTAGTGTTGGGATAACCACCTTCCGTATTCCACCGTGATGCGGCCCTATTTATGAGCACGTGCATGATTGTGCTCAGCTTTCCAACCGACCAATGGTCTGATTTTATTGATCCAGGAGCCGGGCTGTAACAGTGTAGTAGTAGTTGTAGAATTTATTGTTTTGATAGGGAAGGCCCTACAGCTACAGCCGTTGCCGTCTCGTTACAGGGAACCCCCGATCCGAGCTGGGTAGTCACGAATGCATTTGAATTGACGAGTTCGGCCATGAAAAGGCCCGGAGCATGTCTTGGTGGCAACTGAAATCATTTGAACGGTACAAACTGACCGGCGTTCTCAGTTGCTTTGCTTTTGTTTCCTGATGGCCCCGTGCCGAAAGTCCCCAAACCTTGACCCCTAATGGAAATTGTTCGGTTTGGATCTGCTGTGTAGTGTGGAAACATTATTATTTTGACTAGTTTGAGGGAAAGACACAAACGGGAAAAGTCTGAAGAAAAAATTGACTGTTACCCCCAGGACTCGAACCAGGGACCCTCGCTTGTAGCTAGCGATTCTCTAACCACTGAGCTATGGTGTGGTTGTCATCCCAGCAGAGACCGTTCAACATTTTTCTTCAGACTTACATTATTAATATCTATTTTTTGTCAGGCAATCCCACAGGTCCAGAACCTTTCAGTCGGGGTTTCCTAGGGAAGCAAGAATTGATTTGTGGAATTAGTGCAGCGCAGACTGAGCACAAATGGATCTTAGCTGGGAGTGCATTCCACAATACAAGTCATGTACACTGGAAATTAATCCAAGCAGTTCCCTACCGGATTATGTGTGTTAGTGTTTGTTCGGTGTATTGAAATTTTAGGTATGAAACAGATGCACCGAAAGTACCGAAAATAAAAGTACACCGAAAATTTGTGAAATTGCAGTATTTCCAAGGAAAGCAGACCGGGGCCCGGGCCGTCATCCCTGTATTGAACATACAAGCGACGGGCCAGCTCAAGTGGGGTCCACTCGTCTTCTTTATTAATCATATTTCCAAGTCACAATACTTTCCATGAAACCTCACTCCAACGCTCCCATGATAACGGTCTCTTCACTGCAAAGTCAATAAGCCCATTGCGCATTGACGTAGTTTGTACCACGAACCACCCCACACAGCCACCTGGGCATGGTCGTCTGGGGGTGTTGAACAGTGCACTGCTGATCCCAGCGTACTCACATGCATTACTCATACCTTCCATATTTGGTAATGCGCAATGGGCTTATTATGTTTTCCACGTGGACAACATAATAATCAAATCAATAATAATTATTATTGATTTGATTTGCCGCATGATTAAAGAGACCGGTATTGCAGTGCTGGAGCCTTGTGAGGTTTCATATATGCCATGTGTGAAACGGCTCACAAGGCTCCAGCACTGCAATACTTACACATTGTGTAAGTGGCTGCGTTGGACGGTTTGCGGCCGATACTTTGAAGAAAAGTAAATGCTGACTACTGTGGATTCCAGGCATCATTGGTGGTGGCCTGGCGCAAGCGAGACTGAACGTCCGAAGCTGGTTGTGTTTCACAACACAATTTGTTTAGCCGGTGGTATTGCCGGGACGTGCCACCCGATTTTACTTTTTTATTTTTACTGTGGATTCGGTGAACTATGCTTTGTCATGGTGTTTTACAGACAACGACTCGTGACGTGGCACGGTGCACCTCTGCGAGTCCCGGCGGCCATTCATAATAATAATATCTTTATTAGGATGACCCAGAGGCTTGTCGCCTATCAAGGGGTTCACCGCTTTGAAGGGTGTACTTGTAGATGTATGAGCTAAAGTGAAAGTAGTGGAAAGTAAAAGTTGTGCAGCGTGAATGCGTTGGGGAGCACACAGGGGGGGGGGGGGGGGTATGCAGTGCTGCCAAATAATTTTCGCCCCAAATCGAACACCCTTCACCGCCAAGGCTGGCCACATGTGCGAATTTTTCTCCTCGGCAATTTTTTTAACAGAGAATTCAAAATATCGCCTAAAACACCATAAAAATTCGCTTCGTTGCCTTGGTAACCCCGGAGTTGTCATGAATTTTGTAATGATGAGTATGGTCGCACACTGACTCTGTACAGACTGTCAGCGTACATGCCATCCAACCTGATCGAGGCATGTTACTTTGCACTTCCAGAGCCAAGCACTAGTCTTTTTAGAAGCAAATGTACAGTGATTTGTGCCTTCAGTTGCGCTGAAAAGTGAAAGTACAGGACTTCTGCATAGGAAAGTAATGATCTCCGACATTTTGGCTGCTTTTCGGACGTTTCCCTTTTCGGACCGGTTTTCGGAAGAGCCTTCAAAAATCGGACGCTGTCCGAAAAATCGGACGGTTTGGCAGCACTGGTTATGTACATGGCGTGGGCATACCGGAAAGCGAAGCACTATGTTTGCAAGTGAGTTTGCTAAGCTCATTCTTGAAAACAATAATGGATGGTTCTGCAGTTAGTCTTGGTGGGAGGCAGTTCCATAAGAGGGAGGTTTGGAAGAGAAACAACGATTTTGATGTGGTCTTTGCTTTAGGGAGAATCATTTTGTTTGGGCGTCTCGCACTCTGTGTGATATTGAAATGGAATGAAGCTAGGCAACGTCGATACTTGAAAATAAATTTGTGCATGGTAACTAAGCTTATAAACTGCCTGCGGTAAAGAAGAGATTCAATGTTAGCTTTTTTATTAAGATCCTGCTTGGGTGTACACTCAAACGCCTCTTATCCGGACGCCTCAGATACGGGCACGTCTCTCTACCGGGCACCTTCAGCTTGAGCTCCTAGAACACAAATGCTTCGAATTTGGGGGGTTTGAACTTTTTTTCGTATGTGGAAGTGCTTATTTTTCACTGCCAGCCTATGTAATTCACACACTTTTATCAATCGGTTCCTTTTGTATCCTGAACATGTGCAATACGTTCAAAATAAACTTCTTCAAAAATGATATGATACACGGTAGATGAGTTATCCTGAGATACGGGCAAATCTGAGATACGGGCAATGCCCGGTCCCAAGGTGCCCGGATAAGAGACGTCCGAGTGTATTAAAGTCGATTCGGATTTTGCGTTTCCTAAGGTAGGATCTTGCAAACCTGGCCTGGACTCTATCCAGCTCAGTCAAGTCGCTTGAACGAAGGCGAAAGGACCACACTACGACACTATACTCAATCACAGGTCTAACATAGAACTTGTAGAGGAGCATCATGGCCTGCGGTGTAAGACGATGTGCCACTGTGACAAAGTAGGCTTACTCTTTGCTTGAATTGCGGCTGATGTCAAGGTAGTGTTGACGGAAGTTTAGGTCTGCACTGAAGCGAACTCCCAGATGCTTGAGGATGTCAATATTGGGAAGAGGTAGACCCTCCGTAGTGTAGGTGGCAGATGTTGGCGCATGATCCTCCTCTCCGCGGCTTCATCTTCCGCTTGGTCACCCAAGAACAATGACATTATGTGTTTGTGACCTACTGAACGCTGTCATAGTCATTGCTTGACTTTACTTTAGTGCTCGCCATCAAAGCTTGCCATCTTCTTTGCAGCTCTCTCCTCCCCCCCCCCCCCCCCCCCCCCGACTGACTATGATAGCTAGCCCTTCTTCCGTTTCTCGTATCGCTAGATATACTAAAATTAAAACTCTCCAGTGGAGAATTTGCCCAATCGAACATACCTGCATCGCCTACTGCATCAGAATGACTATGACTATGATTGTACATGGTAGAGTGGCAGTCAAGAAGCGATGGATACTGGCACAGGGTCTGTGCTGACAGTCTGTAGATCTACGAGTGTAGGCTGTAGTGTAGCGCTAGCAGTAGTTGCAGTGCATGCAGGGAGAGTGAAGTGACGAACGCATTCGAGACGGATTGCATTGAAAACTACCGGTACTCAGAAAAAGTGGCGTTCAAAATTAATAATAATTGTTTATATTTTTACAGTGCAGATATCGAGTAGATCGAGCGTAGGATAGGGGAGAGAGAGTCTCCCTCAAAGTCAAAGTTAGTTCGATCGTTCACCAGAGAAATGGCGTTCGCTCTGGCCTCGTCCAGTGCTGCAGCGCTGAGAGGTAACCCAAAAGAGATTGGAGAGGAAAGCCAAACGCGGCGACAACCTAGACCTCCTATGACAAACCGGTTTGTATCCTTCATTTGTGTGCGTGTGTCCAGGAGCGTCCCGAAATGGCTGGTTGTCGTCAGCGACTAGTACTTGGTGTGCGCGACGAACGCAGGCGAGCGCAGCCGGCACCACGAAATCGGTGCAAGTGCAAAAGGACAAGGGATATTGTAAGCGCTTGTTGGCAACAATCTTCCCTAGATAATACTGGCCGTCCCTAGTAATGCGTTATTGCTGCGTCCGCATCGTATTGCCCGTCTGCATGAATTTTAGATTCGGTGAACATTGACGAGATGGACTGCAGAGCAGAGGATATGACGGACGTGGCTGCAAGATTCACCGCCTACGCTTTTGCCACGGAGATGTTCGAAGGTGAGGTGGTCGATAGGGTGATGATCATGATCCACAGATACATGTAGGCACACATCAAAGTGCCACTAGAAGAAGGGTTCAAATGTCCCACTTCTTCATGTCAATGCAAAAAGAAACTGATTTCTTTGCATAAGTTTTGAGGTAGGTGAAAGAGGGGTGGGGGCCCAGAAGACATCGACTGTCACTGCCAGGACTAGAACCAGGCACCAGTGGGCCTGTGTGCTATTGTGCATTCTCTCCAATCACTTGTGGTGTTCTTGTAAACTGTGTCGGCCCGGATCCCATTTAGAAAATTATACATCCACTGTGCAGCCAGGGCGTCGGGCACGCAACGGTCACTACTATATTGACCGTACCACTCTTTGTCCCGGGTATCCTGTGAATTAATACAAAAGCACTGATCCGGGGTCTAAATTTCGAAATGTTTCATTGGAGCCACCCCAACCCCACGCATAAATTGTACTTCAAGTGGCTGACCGTACCACCCTGAAGTACCTTCCGACGCCCCTGACTGCACAAATCCTGTGCCCAAACCCTGTATGGCCCGGCAGTCATGTCGAATTCTCCCCTGCGAAAACACAATGGAGACTGAGGTGACGAGAGTAACGCTTTGTAGGAGAGTACAATGCCCTGTGCAGTAACACATCTGCGGTGTGACAACGAGCGTCGAGCGATCTGCTTTTTCACATTGCTGCGAAGTGACTGCACAAAGTCCAACATTCCTCGCACGCTGGCCTTTGGGCAGCTCGCAAACCAAAGCTGTTAATCACAGGGCAAAAAAATTCACGGTTCGCGTGAGACTCGGCCAAAGGCCCAGTGTTCCGCATCCGCAGGAACGCCAAGCAAGCAAGCAAACAAGGCAAGCTGAGTTTTATATTTTGCCTAGTGAAGCTTGAAACTGTTGTGTCCAAGGTCCTTGCACAGGTTCTAGTCAACTCCCGTCCCTTTGGGTCCCCTCCCTCATATTGCCGCAATGTAGTTAGCGTGCTAATGCACTAGCTGCTGGTGCGGTTGTGTTAACCCTTTGTGTACGGACTGTACAACTTTCGATCCCCTGGGATCGAAACTTTTTCAAAATTTCAATCGATCGTAACTCAGTCATTCTTGGGTTAGGCCACCCTTTCTTTTTTCGTTGTTTAACGTCCGCGCCCGCGTACCTTTTTGCCTCAGACTGGAAAAAAAAACAAGAAAGTAGTAGTACCAATAATATGCGAAGTTGTAAATACATGATTGTGTAGTTTCACAGTGTGCCGATCATGACCTTAAACTTATAATCTTGCCTCCCGGGCATGCCTTTGTCTTGTGTTCTTTTTCTTTTTTTGTTGGCTTTTAAATATCGTACGGTGTGTGTCCTAGTAAAAATCCAGATGTAATGAATTCATGACATGCTAACTCCATGCTATGTACCTGTTTTGTTGGATTCATCAGGCATGTGCTCCAATGTACCATCAAAGAGTGTTGTTCTATGCCTGCAAGTGCCGTTAGACCCAGAAATATTGTATATATCACATGCTTTACTGGTCAAAATGTTTGATTGGGGTTTCCAGTTTTTGGAATGGGCTTTTGTTTTTTTTCCGCCCTCCCGCGTACCTTTTCGCGAAAAAAAGGACGTTAAACAATGAATTAACAAAGGGTGGCCTTATATCCGAAAACTAAAATATGTAGGTCAAAGAGAAAACTCCCAGCTGTCCATTGAAACAATCACTGAAGCGCTCCGATGTGTGGTTCCAGAGTTACGTAGCTCTAAAGTCGAATCGCGGCAAATGTCGCTCAATAGCCGCTCGCGCAAATTTGAATGAGGGATATCCCCATCATTATGGGCATGCAGTGACATAGAAACACGTTCAAAATGGCAAACGGACTCATGGCAGTTTGTGAAATTTGTTTGAAGTAACAGTTAGTTGCTACGAGCAAGGAGAGCGAAATGGCTGATGCAAGACGACTTCTGTCGGAATATTGGCGTTGCAGCTAAAACGCTGGGCTGTAGTGCTGGCGTTTTGACCTTCGTGGTGGCAAGCGTGGGCTCAATGTGTTCCTCTTGCGACGAGCTTTCCAGGAAGCCCAAGATTGAAAAAATCGTCAAAAGGAGACTAAAGTTATGACCCGGATATTTATAGAATTTGAGGTGAGTCGAGATCAAATTCAGTCCTGTGTACATTTTTTCAGTACATAAAGGGTTAAACTTAAATGCTTTACGAAATATGCAGTTCGTGTAGACAGTGATAATCGGATGGGATTTTGGCCTTCAGGCTCTGGTTGGTGGATGTGATATATCCTCCCCCTACCTTTTAGGATGTGCATCTGTCGCCTGGTCATGGGTTGGTGGCGTGCCACGGATGCGGAAAAGTGGTTCTTGACCTGTCCTGTGCGCGGACCTGTAATAATATCCGTTCCTTTTTTGTATGCGTGCGAGACACCCGGAAATTAGGGTGCCAGTTTCTGGTTGAATGGACTGTATGATTCCGTGATGCGGGCTTTCCTGCCAAGAAACTGCTGGCAACCCGGCGCTCTGCCCTAGCGTGTTCTTGCTCCTCACCAATCCAGATTGCAGTGCAATGCTCTTGTGTGGGGGAAAACCCTGCGCTGGGCTGCTGTTCCTCAGTATCCCGTTCTGCTGCATGCAAAGTGACTTGGCATGACATTTCTGCAGTGATGCTACAGCATGGGTTGTGTGTATGGCTTTTAACTTTCCGCCCTGTCTGTTTCTGCGTAGGCTTGAAGGTGTTGCTGTCGTACCACTTCCGAGAGCCCAAGACGATCAACTATCCGATCGAGAAGGGCCCGCTCAGCCCTCGCTTCCGCGGCGAGCACGCTCTGCGGCGTTACCCGACCGGCGAAGAGCGCTGCATTGCCTGCAAGCTGTGTGAGGCCATCTGCCCAGCACAGGTTAGTTTTTGGGTACGAGGTCATTTGCTATTTTTGGACACTCAAATTAAATAGCACCCCATTATGTTGGTTTGTAAAATAAATTATTATTTTTTCTTGCTTTTCTATTGGCACACTTATGCTTTACCACCACCACACACACCTGAAGGCCTAGAGTTGAAGTGTGCGGCCACAACTTGACCTGATCAGAGGTGTCCTTTTCTACTGCTTTTTCAATGCGAGCAATTATTGGACAACAAAATTAAATAGCATCTAGCAGCAGTCTGCAATGGCGTGGACAAGTAAAACTTGCACAGGACATGAAAATGGGGTAGGGCTATGCCTATGACTGTATGAGACCGGCTGATATGAGTTCTAATGACAGGCCGTTCGTAGCAAGCTCTTCAAGGCTTTGACACACAATTTTAAAGGGTCACTCAAGGGTTTTCATGGATGTCATATTCAAGAACAGAGGAGAGCACTCCAGTGTGATTCATCTCCTCATATTTCGCAAAGAGTGGAGGGGTAACGCCGTAACTAGCCGCTGCGTCCTTCTTGGTTAGGAAGTGTTCACTGGTGCCAGGTGAGTGGAACGCTCGCACTGCTAAAAGAGATTTCTCCTGACCAGAACCCCTCGACAAACGCACCGGCTGAGAAGGCGAGGAGACTCTTCCAGGCAGATTCGAGGTGGAAGACGTAGTCCCTGGGGTTGATGGAAGGGATACAACATCCCCCATGTCGAAATTCTCTCCGTCATGCGACGTAGAGTCGACGGAATCCTCCATCATTAGTTATTTAATCGAAATTTTCAAAATTATCCACTACATTACCTAAGAATAGTAAAGAAAACGCCCAGAAAGAAACGGTTTTCGCCGCAAAAAATAGGCACGAAGAAACGTGAGGACCACACGAAGACACTCTTGTCAAAGATTTGTCCACCAAGGAAAGCACAACGACTAGGAGGCCTCTACTTCCATATTTAACTGATTTGTCCAAAAATTGCGACATGTCCAAAAATTGCGAATCACCTCGTATACGGTGAAACTTTTCTAATCACTCGCAGACTCCACTGCAGTCGTTTACACATTAGGCTACCTCAACTCAAACAGCGCGCAAAGCTATAGTCCAACTTTGAAATATCAACTCAAACACTTGATACAATTGTGAATGACTTATGCAGCAAAGAGACTGCATTTTGGAGTGTTGGAGTTGAGGTTCCCCAATATACGGTGAACCCTCGTTAACCTCTTTAGCACGATACTACCGGAGCGTCCCCCCCCCGTCAACACCTGTAAACGTCACATTTCCCCATGAAAGTACTAGCTGCTCAAGGATCGATAACTTTACCTTCCCTTGGGCGAATTCCACGATCTTGAGCTTTCTGGAAAGGTCTCAAGATGAGGAATGCAATGGTGTCAAACCCAGCTCAGAGCGAAACCAAAACCCTGTGCTACAGTCTGGCAAACTTTGTCCACACGCTCGACAGACTTGAGCACGGCCAAGACTAAAAGAGCTCAAGTATTCAGCTGCCATTTCGGTCTCCTTGCTCGTATCGAGCTCAACTATTTTTATGAGGACTCCCGAGATCCACTACCATCATTTGAATCTGGTTTCCATGGCAGCAGATAGCGCAAAATGATCCAAAATGGAAATAACGAGTTCTGCAGACTGCACAAAGAAATCTACTTGAAATTTGTCGTGTCGAGTCGCATATCTCAACAACTGGTGGTCATATCGCTTCGGGGATTTTTTCTATCGCTAGCTGAGACTTTTCTCTTGCAGATACATGTTTCGATTGGGAGAATCGACCAAGTATTGACTGAGTTACAATAGTTTGAACGAGCCACTCGGGACTCGATTCGGACCCCACGACTATAAGATGCAGGTTCACTGTACAGCGTCGTACTAGTGCGACAGGCGTGGGACACACAACTCGTGTGCGTCGTACTAGTACGACGCTCGCACTAAAGAGGTTACGAAGAACATTGACAAGACAAGCATTTCGCTTGAGAAGAACTAGTATCCGTAACCCGCTTGGATCAATCACTGTGTATTCACTGGGTATAGAGTATGGATACGAAGAACTCCCGTTATTGCAAACAAATACCACCGGTCCCTTGGTGTTCGTTCTAGAGAGGTTTGGCCGTATCTACACTGTGTTGAGTTGTCCTGGTGCAATGATTTCAGCACTGGTATGTGTGGACCTTGGGTACAGCTGGTGATCTGATGTGACAATGCAAAGTTAGTGAATGAGAATGAATGAGTCTCATGAATGAAATTGAATTGATCTCTGTCTGTCCGTTTCTCTCTCTCTCTCTCTCTCTCTCTCTCTCTCTCTCTCTCTCTCTCTCTCTCTCTCTCTCTCTCTCTCTCTCTCTCTCTCTCTCTCTCTCTCTCTCTCTCTCTCTCTCTCTCTCTCTCACACACACACACACACACACACACACACACACACACACACACACACACACACACACACACACACACCTTGACCTTTGACACCCATCGCCGGAGGCGATGATGGCAATGCTACGGCAGAAGCCATAGCAACTTGTGCTGGGATTGCACCATTCAACAGCTTGCAAGGCTGAAGAATTGACCGCCACTATTCAGCCTGGTCTACAACATACAGCTATTTGGAGTGACTTTTTCTGGCCAGTGAATCCCTATTTTTGGTCTTTTCATTTTTTTCACACACACACACAGCTGTTCTAACTCTTTCGTTCTAAATTGTGTCTTTATATTTCTTTCTGTCTGCACTCTCAGTCCCCATTCTATCATCTGTGTTGTTACTAGCCCTGTTCATGATTGTGTTCATGTCGTATTTCTTCACCACAGGCTATCACTATTGAAGCTGAGCCACGATCAGATGGCAGTCGGAGGACAACTCGCTACGACATTGACATGACCAAGTGTATCTATTGCGGTTTCTGCCAGGAAGCTTGCCCCGTGGACGCCATAGTCGAGGTAAGTCGCGGTCTGCCTTCAGTAAGAATACGAATTAAGTGCTGCCGGACACCGAAGAGTGGTGCGCTGGTCTGCCTTCCGTAAGAAGAAAAACTACTCGATAAGAAGAAATGAGGACCAAAGACCTACAAGTTACGCTATATTGTCCACTAACACCACCAGTTACTGAACAATCAGCTCACGCGATATTATTACACGACACTGACCAGCAATACTGACGTTCTACACCTAACTGGCAATCAGCTCAAGCGTGCCTCGGATGCGTACTCCACTCCGTTGGTCAGTGCCATGCAATGTTACCGTATGAGCTGATTGTAAAGTGACTGGTGGTGTTAGTGGACATTATAGCGTAACTTGTAGTTCCTTGGTCCTCATTTCTTCTTCTAATCCTTGGCTCTCCACCAGAGTCAACTACTCTATAAGCAGAAATATTCGTCTGGAATTTAATTTCGTCTTTTTCGTCCAGGGAGATTTTGGACTTAATTAAACGCCGGACTAATGTCGACTTGTCCAGCTTTTCAATACACTCTTATGGTCCATGGACTAAATTTTCAACCGAACGAACCTCCTTTCTTTGGAGTTGGATGAAATTACTGCCCGGCTAAATGTTCTGCCTGTACACGTATGTGCTGTCGGACGCCGAACAGTGGTGTGTTGAGAACAAACAATCTTGGAGTTGACCAAGTGATGTTCTGGACATTGAAATCCGGTGGAATGACCGGGGTCGGTGCTCTTAGTGCATACGCGCTCTAAAGAGGATGTGCAATACACGTCACGTTGTCCGTTTGCCACTCAAAATTCTTCCATATTATGGAGTTTCTGTACACGCTTTAATAACCCATATATGGACATTTTGCCACTCGGTTACCTCCCATATAAGGCGGATTTGACGTCATTGCGTATCCTCTATAGTTCGCGTACATGCTGCAAGCATTGACCAGCAGTGTCCGGCACGCATTCGAGCCGTATGAATGTGTGCCGTATGCGTGCTCACCGCTGCAAGGCCAGCGCCCCGTGGCCGCTTGACTTCTCACCGTGTTTCCATATCCACAACAGTATACAGTTTAACCTGGTTTAAGCGACCACCCCGCGCTGCAAGCAAAAGCGGTCGTTGAAGCCAGGTGGTCTTTAGAATCAGGTCCCACAGTGTGTGTGTAGAGCTGTCGGTGCATGGAAAGACAGTCGTTAAGAGCAGGTGGTCGCTAAACCCAGAGGTCGCTTACACCAGGTATGCTTGCACATTGCATGTACTGGCTGACTCAGCCACACATACATGTGGACTGTAGTACTGGTGCTTTTTAAAGTCTCGCGAGAGCACCCCATCTTGGTTTTACAGCCGGGGAAAGGAAAATCGTATGGCAGAGTCCAACTAACTTGTTACATGTACGTTTGTGTGGTGTGAGAACCTTTTAGACTTGGTGTACTGAGGTGCTCTCGCAGTACGTTACGGTCTATTAAATACATGAAGGCAAGAGTGTAGGCTGACTGGTTCATATCATGCCATGGCAATCTCATACTCGTTGTAAGTCAACGTCACCTTGACTCAACCTACATATTCCTGGTTACAGTCTCGTTCTCTGCTCGTTCCTTGCTGATTGTTTTACCTTTTCCCCGCATGTATGTGTGTGTGTGTGTGTGTGTGTGTGTGTGTGCGTGCGCGCGTGCATGTGTGTGTGTGTGTGTGTGCGTGCATGTGTGTGTGTGTGTGTGTGTGTGTGTGTGTGTGTGTGTGTGTGTGTGTGTGTGTGTACCTGCACCCAGGGTCCCAACGCTGAGTTCTCCACAGAAACGCACGAGGAGCTGCTCTACAACAAAGAGAAGCTGTTGAACAACGGCGATCGCTGGGAGACAGAGATAGCACAGAACATCAAACTTGATCATGTCTACCGCTAGCAATGGCACCGAACTTCGACAATCAAGTGCTGCAATATCACAGGGTTTGTGTCGCAGATTTATGATTATCTTTTTCCGGTGTACTCGTGTGGGCTTGCACGTGTGGACAGCGGATGCTCTTTGCCAAGCACCCCGCGTGTGTGAATGTGTGTATATGTGAGTGTGTGTGTGTGTGTGTGTGTGTGTGTGTGTGTGTGTGTGTGTGTGTGTGTGAGAGAGAGAGAGAGAGAGAGAGAGAGAGAGAGAGAGAGCCTGTGTCTGTGTGTGTCGCGGTGGCAACCCTGGACTAATAGCAGTCCTGCACAAACTACTCCATGCCATGAGTTCCCTGTTACCACTATGCCTGTCTCCAGACTGGTGGGTCCTAGCATTGAATTCAGCAGTTGTCAGGAAGGTTGTCCTGCTTGCCAATACTCAATACTGTATTCGCTTGAATTATTTTTAGTTTTTCCCACAACTGTCCTGGATTTCCTTCGACACGGTGTTGGAACATTTCCAGAGATGCACGACCACTTTTTTTTATTAGTTTTAGAAACAAGTCGCCCTTGGGTACTTCGTTCATTCTGCTTCTTATTGCTATAATTTATGCTGTTTGTGTACATATACATGTAACTGCTGCTGTGAGTGCATGGTCGGGGATCTTATGTCTCGCCTCGGCTCTCTCACTCACTGCTCCTAAAAAGAGTGCATCTTGCTGGTTCTGGGACGGAGTTGCTATCCCGTCCATGTAGCTTATCTGACTTGTACTCATGTTTTACAATGTATAGGATGTGCTAATACTTATCAGCGTTGTACTAAGCTGTGTCTATTTATTCATTTTCTTGCAAATTAGAAACTGATCTGCATCTTTTCTGTGTGGAGCAGCAGTTTTTCGGGTGCCGTCGCGTCTTGGGTGGGGTTTTGAAAGGTAGAGATTCTCTGATCACCACTGGGCTCCACTGGGCCCGGTGCTTGGACCCTGGCTGACTGCACTGCTCAACACCCGCACCGGTGCACCGCTACAGGTATCTACAAAATCACTGGCTTGTATTAAAACTTTTAGAAAGTAAAATATCATTCATGAGTGTTTTTTGGGGGATTATAGCGGGAACCAGTTTGCTGCTGTTCGAATCGACACACCAAGATTGGAACTCTGGCTTTAGTATTAGCAAGAGTCCGGGGAATTATGGACTCTTCGTATTACAGTAGTAAGAACCACTGCTGTTGCAGTTGACCTGTGTGCATGCAGGGAATGGGGAAAAAAGCAGAGAAAGATGAGAAGGGATCGAAAGTCCAAACCAGGCTGATTTCTGATATACTAGTATAGATACCTTGGATGCAAACAAAAAGTAACATTGCAATATTCCAGAACTACAAAACAAAAACGTTCAGTGCTAGCTGTAGATAGCATCGCTGTTCAGCATGATTGTTCACTGGTTCATGTGTACGTGTATGTCTGAGATGGTTCAAACCTCGCCTTCGCGGCGATGCCCCCGCGCGAAGATGAAGGGCAAAAAACTTTCCCAAAAATTGATGTGATTTGAAAAAAGCATTGTTGAAGATTGCAGTCATTCATTTACAAGAGAAGAGTAGAAATTAGAATGGTTGGTTTGGCTTGAAGAACCAACAGCTCAAGTCGAGACGACATGGCTAGCTAGTCATTATGGTGGGTGTTGCGTACCTGCCTAGTAGTGTTCAATAATTATTTTCACCAGCTCTGACACCCTAGCTCAGTAGCTGTTCTGGTATTGATATCAATACAGTAATCGTAATTCGATTTTAATTGGACTTATTGATCGTTCCTTTTGGGGATCAGCGGACGGTCATTTCAGCTGCAGCATGTCGGATGATTCGTATGATACTGTGAGTGGTGTCGTCAAGACAGTAATTCACGGAGGAGGAGGTGAAGTTGCCCAGTGGAAAAAGAACACCAAGGTACCAACATTACAGCTGGCTTGCACTACATACTGTATGCTCTAACTTCAAATTCAAGAATGCAGTCTTGTCTGGGCGCCGTGGGTGCCTCGGGACCGAAGGGTGCCCGCACATAACAGCCGTCCGTGACTGGAATATACAGTGTACGCTGCACAGACATTGGATATGAAAACCCCTTCTCTTCAGGTGTACTCACTACAATCCATTCACAAATTGATCTCTGGACTTTTTCAATATCCGATTTAGGCCGAATTAGGCTGGGAATGGGCTTTGGATCAACATGCCTGTATAATATCAGTGCTAAGCCCGGCCGAAACACGCAAAAACCTGGCCGGAAAATTAACTTCATCATGGTCTACCTTTTTGAGAAATAGACACCGAAAACAATTGAAGGAGCATTCCATACTGCATGTGGCAAAAACAAGTGTGAAAAGGTCAACCGTTGACCCAATTTTATGGCCAAAAGCAAGTTGATCATCCTTTTCTGAATGGACTGTAGCGCCAGGTTGGTAAAATTCACAACTTCACATCTGTATACAGTAGGAGCTGAGGGCTATGATCTTTTATGATGTACATGTAGCTCAGGTGACCTGTCACCACCACGGAAAGGAAGACATTTCAAGATTTGACTGCGCGTATCTGTGTGCAGGGTGACGGTGGATTGTCCATGTTTTATGCCGATAATTTATGTAAGCGATTCTCTATAACTTTGGTACGCGTGTGCGTGCGTGCGTGCGTGTGTGTGTGTGTGTGTGTGTCACATGTGTGTGTGTGTGTGTGTTCACGTGTACAGGTGCAGTTTCACTACCGCGCCAGTCGTCTGTGTGACGGCGGCAAAGACCTTTCCCATTTCTGCGATGAGTGCAAGCTGCTGGATGACACACGGACAATGGGCGGTGGACCGTTTGAGCTCCTAATCGGACGCGAGTTCAAACTGCCCGTCTGGGAGTTGTGCCTGAAAAGCATGCGCGTTGGCGAGGTCTCAGCCTTCAACTGTAACGTGCAGGTACGCTTTCTTAGTCACGTTTGAGTGTCTGCAATCTCAGCTTTTTGTCATTGTCAGTGTACATGTATAGTAGTGCACTGTCCCAAGATAACCTACTGTAAAAACAGAAATTTTCGGTGGTGTTTTATTTTCGGTCACTTCGGTGCCGACAATTTTTACCGAAAATAAAACGCACCGAAATTTCAGTACAACCGATACTGTATACAGAAGAGAAAAAAACTGTATACATGTAGTACTAGTACATGTGCACTTACTGGTACCTGGAAAACGGGTTTTACCGAAAATTTCCCTCCACCGAACCGCCGATTTTGGAGAATACCGAAAATATTAGTGTGTAAAGCAGGAAATTGTAGCCTAGCGGGAGACAACACGGGCATGTGTAACTTGAAGCATCATGTGCTACGATTCCGGGCAACATGTACCTGCTTCAGTTGCCCTTGGGGTCGGGGTCAACGTATGCACGTGTTGTGTTGTGCGCCCTCGCTGGTCTGCCTCTGAGGTGGCCGTGCACGCCAGGAGGTCCCAGCCGCGATCATGATCTCATGTTGCATTGGCTGCGATCATGTGTAAGCTGTCACTAAGCTCCACATCTGGTGTCGAATTGCCTGTCGCTTCAGCTAGTGTGGCCTTGTGGTGTCCCTCTGAAAACAGTACTGACGGGCGCCGAAGAACGGAGCGCCGAAGAACGAACAGGCTAGAATTTCACCAAGCACAGCACACCAATGTGTGAGCTCCTTTTTTTTTTTTTTTTTTTTTTTTTTTTTTTTTTTGGCCGAATATTGGTCTGGCAACTTGCCGGACCGCCTGCTACGGCCCTGATGTATAGTATGTACATGTCATGCATACTAGACTAGTACACAAAGGCAGAACAACAGAGACCCTTTGTGTAGTACTCTCTGCCCATGTTCAGGTATTGAGCACTATTTGCAGCAAGGACTCCAGACACTTTGTCTACTAGACCAAGAGTACATAACCCCCCAAGAGTGTGCAACTCGACTATGGGTGCTGTCCCGACAGAATTTCAAGTTGACGTCATTTTTATGATGCAATGCGCACTGGTACACGGATTATCAGACGAATCCGGAACGTGTGGTGGGCCGAAGCCCATCTGATCCTGTACAAATTATTGCAGAGAAAAACGTGTGATGCATTGACACCCGCACACATGTTGTAAATCACTGGTGCAAGGAGCATTGCGTCGTAAATAATGACGTCAACTTGAAATTCTGTCGGGACAGCAGGGTATGTGGGAGCTGCACACTCTTGGCGGGTTATGTACTCTTGACTAGACTAGTACATGTAGTTTACATTGTTTGCGTATGTCTCGTTCCATAGATAATCACTGATGAACATTGATAACAAAAAATATGTCTCGGTCATACTTTGTGGACTACTTTATTAACAATGTAAGCGATGGAGACGATGCAAGAAACAATCTAAAGGGTAAATAAAATACATGTAAGAAGAAAAAGGGCAATGGAAAAAAAGATGATTCAAAATCATCTTTTTTTCCATTGCCCTTTTTCTTCTTACATGTATTTTATTTACCCTTTAGATTGTTTCTTGCATCGTCTCCATCGCTTACATTGTTAATAAAGTAGTCCACATGTCGCTTCAGCTCGTCCTACTTATTGCCATATTAAAATTATTGTCTCCTCGTCGAATTTTTTCATACTTTGTATGTTTCATTTTATCATTCCACTCACCGTATTATGTTAGCATCAGCTGTTTGTTTTGTTAACAGCCAAATTGAAACATCTTTCTCCAAAATGCATCTTTGTAAAGTTGGACGAGCTCACCACTTGCCTCGTTTGCAGTGCATGCATCATTGTTTTCTGTGTGTAGTAAAACAGCAGCTGGATGTACTCATGTTATAGTAGGGAGGTTTAGTCCCACGTAATCCGTGTGTACTTTACATGTGTGTACCACGTGATACTCAGTGACCCACGTGCAGACGTTTTATGATTCACGACATACCGTGTGTATGGAGGGTCACCCACGTTCCGTCAGAACGTGGGTGAAAATCAGAATGGAGCGCATTGTGTGAGCTGTGAGGGTGCTCAGCTGAAGAAGTTTCCGAAGCACGAAATCAAAATATTCGATGAGCTTCTAAGCTTCGTCTTTGACCTGGTCTGGGCCTTTCGCTTCTTGCTTTTGTTTGTTCTGTGTGACTAAACACAACATTGCAAACGTGGGTCCATTGCAGGAACTTTACGTGTATCACCCACGTTCCCGTATCCGTTACGTGGGACTAAACCTCACTAATTATACTGCTGTCTGAGCTCTTAGCTCTGTGTTTGGACCGGAGCCACCCCCTGATTTAGGTACCATTGCCTTTGGCTCATCCGTCATAATAATAATAATAATAATAATACGTAACTTGACTGTGTCCAATGACTTGATCGGGCTAAAGGGGCTTTCCCTGGGTGCGCCCGACAGCACTGTATTTGCTCTGCGTGTGTGTGTGTGTGTGTGTGTGTGTGTGTGTGTGTGCGTGCGTGCGTGCGTGCGTGCGTGCGTGCGTGTGTGTGTGGATGGTGTAGTGATGTTAGCTTGCTGCGCATACTCCTCGTCGTTTCGTGAAAGTACGTCTTGTGGAGCCCTTGTGGGACGTTCGGTGCCCACCCTCCAGCTCAAGATTGTGCTTTCCTGGTGCATGAAGGCCGAAGCAGTACGCGTACAGACGTTATTGTTGAACAGAACATCATGTTCCTTTTTCAGTCGTTGCATGTTATACTTATAGTGGACCTACAGCAGACTGTTCATCTGGTTTGTGATATTTCCTTCCTCTGTTTGTGAGTCCCTTTCCATCAATATGGCAGCTTGTTTTGATTTCCTTTTTTCAATTCATTTTGCTGTACTTCCTGTTTTGTTTGCGCCACTGCCCCTCACCTTGCACTCAGTTCTCTGAGTGGAGGGCGGCGTGACCTCAAGGGGTAGCTGATTGATAATAGTAGTGTGTGTGTGTGTGTGTGTGTGTGTGTGTGTGTGTGTGTGTGTGTGTGTGTGTGTGCGTGTGTGTGTGTGTGTGCGCGCGCACGTGTGTGTGGGTGGGTGCGTGTGTGTGCGCGCGTGTCCAGCACTGTATCAACTACAGCTTTGTGTCGTCGCTGTGGCGCAACGTCTCGGCCAAGCGCCTGGGCCAGTCCGATGTGCCGCCAGCACCGAGCACGGGCTGCTGTGCGAGCATGATGAACACAACGGGACACGCCGACCTGGACGAGTTCAACGCCGCACCCGCCGGCCTCCGCTTCCAGTTCGAGCTGGTCTCGGCGCTGGCACCGGACAAGCACGAGCGCGAGGGCTGGGCGCTGACGCGGGACGAGAAGGAGGTGCTGTTGCCGGCGCTGCGCGGCGAAGGCAAGCGCCTGTTCTCGGCCGGGGACTACGTCGGCGCGCTGGAGAAGTACCGGCTGGCCGTGTCCTACTGCCACGATGTGACCATGCTGGATGTCCGCGCTTCGGAGCATTGGAGCAGCGTGATGTCCGGCGTATGCGTGCCCCTGCTGGTCAACACCGCACTGTGCCTGAAGCAGCAGCGGGAGTTTGCGCAGGCCGCCGAGTGCTGCACGAAAGCGCTGGAGATCAGCGGCGAGCACGTCAAGGCCACGTTTGTCAGGGCCACGGCGTTGCAGGGGTGCTGGCGTCTGGCGGAGGCACGCGCAGACTACTTACGAGCGCAGGAGCTCGACCCTGACCTGCAGGCTTCCGTGGCTAAGAAGCTTGCGGAGCTTGATAGACTTGAGCAGGAGAAGACCGGTGCAGAGCGAACCCAGTACAGAAGGATGTTTCAAAGCTGACTGTTGGTTAACTCAACTGTGTACTCTGACAGTGCTGGTGCTGCTGCTGCTGATGCTGGTGCTGGTGGTGCTGGTGCTGGTGGTGCTGGTGCTGGTGGGGGTGGTGATGGTGGTGGGGGTGGTGGTGGGTTGAGCGCTTGAGATGCATGTGTGGGTGGCAGCATTTGGATGGACAGGATGGGGATGGTTGGCGTGTGTGTCTATGGTGATGTTGAGCATGTTGGTGAAGGCTGGAGTGGATCAAGATGTACTGTAGCCGTGTACATGTACATCGGGTTTCTACTGCTCCCTGCTCACAACAAGCAGGATCACTTAAAAAAATCATACCTGTGTTACAAAGCAGGCCATAGACAGTCCACTCCTGCAATCCCTCTGCATTCCGTTCTCAACCAGCTTCATACACTAGCAGCTGCTGCTGCCTTGCTGCACCGCCAGCCATTATCTCGTCTGTAGCTCCTAAGTACCAGTATGTACATGTACGAGGAGTCGTCTGAGTCTTATCCTGTGGTGTCTTGCGACTTGAGTAACCGTACTCCTCGCATTGCCTGCTGCTGGTGGGCCTGTGTGTATCACGATGTGCTCAGTATGCGTTACATCTGTCCAGGCTACCGGTATAATATGCCCTCAAAGCCAGCACAGTCATGCACATGAGCGGGTGAGATTTTCAGTGTACAGTAAAACCTGTAAGTAAAGACCACCGTGACTAGCAACCAGCCTGGTACTAAAGACCACCGTGACTAGCGGCCAGCCTGGTACTACAGACCACTTCGCCAGGCACGGACGGTCTCACATTCATATAATGGTTGTGCGGTGCAAACCTCTAACTAAGGACCACCGTGACTAGCGACCAGCCTGGTACTAAAGACCACTTCGCCAGGCACGGACGATCTCACATTCATAATTATGTGGTTGTGCAGTGCAAACCTCTAACTAAAGACCACCTGCCACTAAAGACCGCTTTCTCTGGCCCCAAGGGCCAAGGGGTGGTCGTTAGTCACAGGTTTTACTGTACTCCTCTTGGCATAATTATGGCTGGAGTCCGGTTGGGTTGGGTTCTAACCAACTAACTTGGTGCAATGCAAAGCCTAGCATTTTGCCGTGGTATACCTGTCCTGATTTTGTAAAACCTGGTCAGATTTCTAACTTCCTGTTCTTGGACTTTTCCGCCTTCGACTGTACCAAGAGACGAGAATTGCACGGATCACACAATGCAGGATGTACATGTACACTTGTATGATTCATATCTCTCTTATCCGGACCTCGATCTACCGGGCACCCTAGCCCTAGGCCCTGTGCTAGTGTGGGTAATTTTAATTCCATGACATTGCGGATCAATTTTAGTGGGAATATCGCTACATGTATCAACCACTCTATGCGCGGGACCCCGTTATGGTGCCAGTACTACAGTTCCTATTATTAAAATAGCAGTCGAGCAGAAGTCTGCATGCAGTTGTGCAAGCAAACAGGCACAAAGCATGCCCCGGCATCTCCACCCTGAACGCACACAGCGAGCTCAACCGACACTATAATACATGTAAATTGACTGTGTAACGCTTTGATCAATCTGCTACGACGCAGCGTTATGTGGATTACGGCACTTGAATATGAGCCAGTATCATGAGTATTGCTTACAAAGAGAGTTGTTTAGAATTCTACGCTATAATTAAAACAAACAAGATTACAGTCAGATCTCGCATAACCGCACTCATCCGTTTCCCACAAAATATCCGGATAGGCGAGGGAACCGGATTATCGAACTCACAATGTCATACTGCATGCATGCATGGCATATGCTGTAAGTCGGTAGCCAACGATTTTCTTCCGGATTGCGGGGGATCCGGATAAAAGAGGACCGGATAAGCGAGGTCTGACAAGCTAGACATTGTGCACACGCACCTCTCTCTTTTGCAGATTCCACACAAAACGTTCAAAAGCAACATTGCATGATGGTACGTAGTAGATACAAATCAAGGCGAACACACACCAAAACGTCGCTGCAATAGCTGTTCAGTAGAGACGGAGCCGTTAGCGTGATTTGCCGTGCTGCATTGGCTCACACAGCACGCAGGCCGACGAATAGTACACAGACACTTGTAGCCAGGGATGTGAAATCGAGCTTTCACTTCCAAGAACAGCAGCGTGGCTTGTTGACTTCCAAGAACTGCATTATGGCTTGTTGAGGCATGTGCAGAGCATACCAAGGGTTACCATGGTTACTGCACAGTGACACGGCTAGTCGCACCCTTTCCAAATAATTCCATGACATTGCGGATCAAGGTCAATACGGACGCATGTCTGCACTGGTCCACGTCAATACGAACATATACATGTATGTGCACTGGTCTAGGTCAATACGGATGCATGCTTGCACTGGTCTAGGTCAATACAGATGCATGCTTGCACTGGTCTAGGTCAATACGGATGCATGCTTGCACTGGTCTAGGTCAATACGGATGCATGCTTGCACTGGTCTAGGTCAATACGGATGCATGCTTGCACTGGTCTAGGTCAATACGGACGCATGCTTGCACTGGTCTAGGTCAATACGGATGCATGCTTGCACTGGTCTAGGTCAATACGGATGCATGCTTGCACCGGTCTAGGTCAATACGGATGCATGCTTGCACTGGTCTAGGTCAAAACGGACGCATGCTTGCACTGGTCTAGGTCAATACGGATGCATGCTTGCACTGGTCTAGGTCAATACGGATGCATGCTTGCACTGGTCAGCAATAACATGCTTGCACTGAGTCTGGCTGGCAATCACTTCCCTCCTGCTGCAGATGCTTTAGCCTTTCCTTTCACCTTTGCCGTCGGTGCGGGTGATGATGCACCGGTGATGGTCTTTGATCGCCGTCGTAGCTTACTCCATCCAGCACCACCCATGCTGGTAGTGCTACTGGCTTGTGAGGCGCTGCGTCGACCACTGGCCTGTGATTCGGTGTGGCTGCTGGTGCTAGCCTGCCGATCCGTTTCCACTGTACAACATGTGTGTGTGTGTTGGGAAAGACACAGTTACACACACACACACACACACACACACACACTGTACTGTACTTGTTGCTCACTGCCAAAACTGGTCACGTGAGTCTCCCCGGGAGAGGGGAGAGAGACTCAAAAGGAATCTTGGAAAGATGACTCAATTGGTTATTGAACCGCCCAACGGCCGACACCCCCTGAAATCCCCAAAACTCTGGGTGGACTTGAAAATGATCCCACTTATGAGCTCACCACACCTCAGTAAGTGGGTGAGGACAAGGTGCAGAAAAAGGATTGACGGCATCAGGGTATCCGTCCCGGGATCCAACTGCAGTTACCCCTGCCCCCAGTGAAGGTAATACTTGCTACTAGTGTGAGTGGCTAAATCAGAGTGGATCTGATAAAAGCTTCAATAGCACCATTGATTACACAAGAGTTAATCTGGCCAGAAGTCCATGGTTAACAGGTATGTATACTTCAAATAGAAAGTATATGAACCCTGGAACCAACAAAGGTGGTGGGTACAACATTACACCTTCAAGCAGCCGAGCCTGTTGGCAACAGACCCAACACAATCAGGCATAAGTGTACCTACCAACCAAACTAGCTGGCACGCACACACACACACACACACACACACACACACACACACACACACACACACACACACACACACACACACGGCATATGAGGAAGAGCACACGCACGCACGCACATGCATACACGTGCACACACACACACACACACACACACACACACACACACACACACACACGGCATATGAGGAAGAGCACACGCACGCACATGCATACACGTGCACACACACACACACACACACACACTAGAAGCTATCCAACACAACAAACAGGATCGGCGATGCACCTGCGACTTATTACGTTGTACAGAGGGGACAGCAATGTATGCACACATACTGAGTGATGCGTGTGTGCATACATTGACCTTGCTCCAAAGCACGACTGAAACGAACAGCCCGGGGACGAGACCCGCATGTTCCAGTTGTCGGCCCCTTGTCTACATGGATACATGCTAGAAACCGGATAATACAAACACACACACATACTCACAGAGAAAACCGGGGAACAACTCCTGAGGCTCCGTAAGCAGCACTTTGTACTTCTTGTTGCCGTCTTCATCCTCTGAAACACGCACGCACACACAGACACACACACACACACAAATACACACACATATACATACACACACAAACACAATTAATGCAGAGAACGCTAGACAAAGGCAGTCCATGAATTGGAACAAAAAAAAATTCGTACGATATTTCACTTAGACGGTCTAGCCCTGACAGCATCACCTTCAATGCCAGAAAACGTTCCGCTTTGGACCAGCAGCTCCTTAGCAATACGTCACAGACCAGCCAAAGTTGCCTTCCGGCACCCCTGTCGAGATGCGTATGAAAACAAGATAGTATCGTCGTCATGCTGGGGAAAGGTGGTGAATGGCGTTGCAAACTCGAGCGCCGTTTTGAGGAGCTGGTCTGAGATCGATGGATAGATACGATTATGCATGCCAAACAATCCTTATTATTCACAGGTGACAAGGTATGGGCCAAGACGGACAGAGAAGGTTTATTTGACGTCACAATGGGGAGTCATGATAACGCGGAAGTGTGCCAATTGGTAGGAGCGTTCCTGCTGAAGCGTCTAGCAGATATGTTCAGCACCGCCAGCCTAGGCCTATACCGCTACGATGGCCTTGCAGTATTCAAGAACATGACGGGACACGAGGCAGACTCCATCCGCAAAGCTGTCACGAAGCTGTTCGAAGACTCCGGCTTGAGAATCGCGATCAGTTCAAACCAGGGAACTGTCAACTTCCTTGACGTTACCTTCAACCTTGCATATGGCCGCTACGAGCTGTATGGAAAACCGAACGACGCACCGAGATACATAAACACCGAGTGGAACCACCCGCCGACAACCATACCGAAATTACCGGCGCTGATTAACAAGCGATTGTCAAGTATTTCGAGCGACCAAGAGGTCTTCAACAACGCTCCACCGGCCTACAAGGAAGCATCAGTGGATTCCCAGCCGTACTAACATTCGACAATGGCGGCCAGGCAAAGAAGTGCCAAGACAGGAAGAGAAACAGAACCTGGTATAACCCGTCATTCAGCAAATCCGTGTCTACCAGTATCGGCAAGCGGTTCCTGAAGCAAGTCCGAAAACACTTCCCAGCATTGTCACCTCTTCGTAAAATCTTCAACAAAAACACGGTCAAGGTCAGCTACTCTTGCATGGCCAATATGTCCTGCCTAATCAAGGGGGACAACCAGACAGTGCTGGCCCCGGCCGACGTGCGGAAACCGGCAGAGGAATGCAACTGCCAGGCTAAACCCTCTTGCCCTCTGGATGGCCGATGTTTGCGAGAGTGGGTGGTCTACCAAGTGGCGGTCACGACTCGAAGCTCACCAGGGGAGAGGCGTTACTTCGGGCTTTGCGAGACACCGTTCAAAATGCGCTATGGCAACCATCTTACGACTACGAGGTACGAAAGTACCGCACGAACACGGCTGTCAAGCCTCAATTCACCTATGGGCACTTCAGGACCAGGGTGAGGAGTACGACATTAGGTAGACCATCGTGGACAGGGCAAAGACATACAGCAACATCACAACAAGGTGCGGCCTGTGTTTAGCAGAAAAGGTAAAGATCATACGCGCTGACCCAGCCACGCTCCTAAACAAAAAATCAGCTATGGCACTGGTGTGACTTAGGCACCTGCCTGCCATCACCAGGGCCTGCCATCACCAGGGCCTGCCATCACCAGATCACCAGGGCCTGCCATCACCAGGGCCTGCCTGACTGCACTGTAACTTGACTGTCACCTCTCCTTCTCTCTCTTCTTTTCACCTCCCGTGTAAAAACTGACACCCGGATTCGCAGCGTGTCTCACCAACTTGAATGCCACAGTAATGTCGCGCTACCTTTGCACACGTTGTTACCTTTGCACGCTTTGCTTCCTACCTGGGTATAAATTTGTAGCCAGATGATGTACAGGTTATCAGTTGTCTGAGGATTGCCTTAGCTTTTGCTATGTGCATGAAATGCAGCGTTACAACAATGACCTAGCCAGTTGTCTCTGTTCTCTTCTGCGTTCGTGCATTCAGTAAGTATGTGTGTCAGGCTGCGTTTGTGCATTCAGTAAGTATGTGTGTTCTGCGTATGTGCATTCAGTAAGTATGTGTGTTCTGCGTTTGTGCATTCAGTAAGTATGTATGTTCTGCGTTTTGGGCAATTGCTAATTACAGCCAGTACTCGGTCCCAACCTGCCCGGATTACGGTTGGGATTTATTCACTGAGTATAAAAGCTACAGTTCTTACTGAGAATGGCGCAGAGAATGTACTTGGCGTTGTTCTGTAGGTACTTGCATGCCTCGTCTTGCCTGTAATCAGGAAGGTGTATGATCTTTCCCTGTGTATCCACCAGGTCCAGCACAACTGCACAGAACAGTAAGAAGAGGAAACTGTATGTGCAAGCATGCACAGCAGTAAGCGGCTACACCATCAAACATACTATGTGAAGTACGGGAGCAAAACTCATCACCGTGGTAACTTGTAAGTGAATGCACACGTTCACATACTTATTCTCACACATTTATATATAGTGACGTGTTTGCACAAAACCTTTAAGTTACAGTTCGTCTTGTGCACTGACAGAGATGGGAACAGACACAATACAGAGAAACAAGGGGAACGGGTAGGAGGAGACAAGAGAGAAGGACAGACATTCACACAGATAGGGATACAGAGAAAGACGACATGCACTCTTGCTGTCTCCAGTATCTACATTCCGTGGACAAGGAATTTCCACCCAAGAGTCTAACGCAGCGGCACATTTCAATTTCAATTTCTGTAATTTCACAAATTTTCGGTGTACTTTTGTTTTCGGTACATTCGGTGCAGCTGTTTCATACCTAAAATTGTAATACACCGCACAAACACTAACACACATAATACAATAGGGAACTGCTTCTCTGCACCGAAAATTTCTGTTCACCTAACCTGGCCTTTTGCCCTTATACCGAAAAAATTGAGCACCGAGAATTTCTGAAATTCGAGTACAATCAAGTCATAATGCCTGATCCAAAAACCCATCAGAGGGCTGCAGATGTGGCATGAACCTTCGGCGCTGCTTTTGGGTCACGTGTTGTATTTCTTTGTACATGACTGTACTTGGTAACATCAGCATGTTGAACTTACTCTCTTCTCGGCAACCACAAGTGGCATTGAGGTACGGCAGAATGCGGCTGATCCGGCATTTCAGATTTAGATGTATCATCTTCGCGTCTGCAGGCACATAGTGTATGTACACGCACGAACGCACAAACAAACACACACACACACACATAAACGGTCAGGTGAACAACTCAACGGGGCCCTGTTTTTCCAAACTCTGTTGTTAGGACTGCGTGGTATTGGCGGGCAGAGCTGTAATTATTGTACTTACAAGTGATACCTCTGCGCATGCTCCTATGTATCGACAATATTATTGTCATAAGCTCAGGAAATAGCCTAGGCATGGTGCAGGTGTGTCTAGTATTAGTATTTATTCAACATTTCCTGTCTCGTCAAACCACTGCTAATGACAAATGAATGTGACATGAATATATACATGGGTGTTTCAGACACCCGGTCACCTTATCCAAGTATGCATGCAGTTCCCCTTGCTTCAGGATTTACTGTGCGTCCCTCACCTGCGTAGTAGACTTTGGCTACTGCCATGTCGTCAGAGACCGCTTTGCAGTGTTGATACACACACACACACACACACACACACACACACACACACACACACACACACACACACACACACACAGTGACACACACACACACACACACACACACACACACACACACACACACACACACAGTGACACACACAGTGACACACACACACACACACACACACACACACACACACACACACACACACACACACACACACACGTCGGCACAGTCTAAGGGATTGGTCCACGGCGATGATGCCGGAGGCCGGCGCCGAGCGATGACGGGATTGGCAGCTTCAGCCACCTGGCCGAATATCAGTTCAACAGTGGATTAGTCACCAGTACGTCTGTCTACCCGCACAGTACAACTGTATCCCATGTACTCACAGCCAGCAAGTCATGTAATCAGATGAGTGTATACACAGGCAGAGACAGTGTTTTCTCTCAGTTTCTGCTACTGTAGCGAGCATCCAGCAGCTCAGGGTAGCGTCGTCGCCAGTGATCACCTAACTGATAGATATTCCACTGATCAGTCTACTGTATACCATACTAGCAGTAAGTAGTGCTCCGTGCTCGACTGCTCGTACTGCTGGCCACAATGACTTGCAGTTGGACAGCCGGACTGTTTTCAGTACCGAGTAACCAGTACAGCTTGCGGACACAAGTAACGCTAGTTCTCAGCAACACCACTCGCTGCCACTAACCACTAGGGAATCTGGGGCTAAACCGTCACGGGTGCACGGTTTCTTCACACACTGGTCAGGCTGCAAGGATAGAACTGCAACAAAACGCTGACTGCCAGATCACGGCATGCACCTCGAGACTGGAGTACAATCATGTACCAATGTCTGTCTGCAGTGTGAGTGTCGATCGACTTGCGAGGCACGACAGACAGTCGATCGATAACTGACTGGTGACGGTCTCCTCAGAGCAGATGGATTCCCAGTCACCTGCAAGCGATCCTCCCTGAATGAGATATCTGCTCACTTCTGTCTTGTAGCGTTGCTATTCCCCAAACGGGCCAAAGTCGGAAGCCTGGCAAGATGTACGAACTCAAATGATCGAAAAGCGACATAGCCGATCCCCACGCCAGTGCAGTGGTTAGGTTAGGTTACAAACAAAATTGTAGGAATTAATAATTATTTGACTGGCCTGGAACTGCACGGGTACCCGGGTACAGACTGTGCATGGCTAGTGTGGGGGGACTGGGCCATGGGACAGACTGTCAGTGGAAGTATCATCACCACATCACTATCATTATCAACCATGACAACAACTACATAATTATGCGAACTACCGGTATCCTGGCTTCGTGGCAACGACGTAGTCGTTACGTGCGCGCGCCATGACCACTGCCGGCATGCACTGGCACTTTATCAGTATGAATGTAGGAAGGCTACAAAAAATAGTTTGTGTGTTTCTGAACATTCAAGCGATGCCAACGCGAATCCCGCGAATTATTATTATTATTATTATGTCTTTCGAAAACGGAAAAAATCGACAGGGCATTATGCATGCGCACAGATCGAGTAAAGAAGTAGTTTTCTTCACGTATCACCGTTACGGCGTTAGTAATATACTAATAAAGTAGATCTACTGAGTCTGTGCACAAGTCAATGATTGTCATATGAACGAATCGAAGGTTGGCTCGTCTCTTGCTTTGGAGTCATGGCATGCAAAGAGAACGCTGACGGTATATCATCAGCTCTTTCCCAGACTGGATGCGATGAGAGAAGTGCTAGCGAGGACGGTTGCACGGAGGCTACTTGCTCCGAAACCACTGCTTGCATCGCCGAAGCAAGCAACACAGTTCCCGAGGCAGTGTCCAGACTGAAAAGTCTGTTAGTTGAGGAGTATGTCGGCGCAACCGTGGACATGGGAGAAGGCATGGTGGAGGAAGGGATGAATGAACCAAGCGTTTCAGATGTGCAGGTAAAACTGATCATTTTGTCTAGGCCAGAGCTTCGGCAGGAGTTCGCCGATGCGAGTTTCGATTCAACAGGGGACATGTGGCGCGTAGAACACGTTTTCACAAAGGCAGCCGATAGTTTGGAGAACATCTCCATTGAAAGTCTCTTCCATCTGGACAATGAGCAGATGCTGGAGTTCTCCAGCGGTGGTCGAACGTATCGCATATTGGCTGTTGCCAGCGCGGGCTGTGGCAAGACGTTCGTGTTTACAAGAGCGGCGCCATTGAAATGGGCGCGGAATGAAATGTGGACATCGTTTGACCTGGTGATAGCGCGGAAGCTACGGAACGAGGAGGTGAGAAAGGCAAAGAACATATGCGCTCTGCTTGGTGTTGAGGAGCGGGGAGAGTTTACGAGCGAGGAGCGCAAAAGTATCGATGACTTTGTACGCCGGCAAGCTCATCGAGTATGTATTGTGCTCGATGGGCTTGACGAGATCCTCTTTAGTGACTGCAGTGGCTTTGTACAGGAAATCATTAAGGGGTCAAGTGTGAAGGGACTGCGTCTGGTGGTGACGTCGCGGCCGTGTGTAGAACTACTGAGCCTGAGTGACAGAAAGCAGTTTGACCGGCGTGTGGAACTTGTCGGTTTTCGGCAAGAAGATGTTGAAGAGTACATTGGCAAGGTGCTGAGGTCAGTGGACGAGGCATCCTTACTGGTGAAGGAAGTACGGGAAGATCAACACCTTGCTAGTATGATGGCCACGCCATTCCTAGCCATGCAGACGTGCAAGATGTTCCACTGCCGCAATGGCATGCTGCCAAAATGCCTGTCGGACATATTTGACATGATGATCATCCAAGTTGCCGAGCGCAATACTGGTGAGTCGTACAAGAGTTGGAATGAGATTTCTCCAGCCGTCCAAGCCCTAATCCTAGATCTTGGGAAATTTGCTTTCAGCATGCTGGTTAAACAGCGACTAATTTTCACCAATGCTGATTTGCAGATGCGATCGATCACCAGGGAAGCTAAAGCTCTCGGCCTTCTCGTGCTAGCCGACAATAGCGGTCGCGACGACGGCAGACTGTGGATGTTCAGCCATTTGACGTTACAAGAATCGCTGGCGGCTCGCTACGTGGCTGTGAAGAAGGCAACAACACCGGCACGCGTTGTCCATTTGGTGGAGTTGCTGGGCCCAGAAAGCGAGCACTTGCGGACTTTCTGGATGCTGTTGACAGCCCAGTTAAACAAGGAGAATGCTGACTGTTTGATCAACGGTCTTCTAACGCGGCGAAAGTCCTCTGATGGACAAGGAGCGGCTGTGAACGACGAGGACAAGGATTGGGATGACCAACATGATGCAACAGCGGCAGCACGTGATGTCTTCCCACTGGATATGCTGGAATCGCTGAGTGCAGGTTTGGACGACTACGAGGGCCGCCGTCTTGCAGAAGAGCTTCTATCCGACAGCCTGAACGGAAGAAGCAGTGTGCGTTACGTGGAGAACCGTAGCAAGTACGGCAGACCCGATAGCGGTGAACAGTTCTTGAGAGTGACGTTGCTGACGTGGGTGGAGCGCTGCCCTGATGCAACGTACGATACACTGGTTGATGCTCTGCGATGCATGGGCAAACACGTCCTTGCACAGTCTCTACATACTCCTACGCGCGGTGGTAATCCAACACCAGTGAAGAGTCCATTCCACAAGGAAATCAATCCTGACTCAACCGGTAACTTAGTGCTAGCAGTGCTCAGCTATGCCGAGCGTTGCCGTCACCATGACGATGACCGTCAACCCATGTCTAGCCTAGTCGCCGCATTTCAGTGCATGAGGGTAACTATATCTGGCTGTGCCCATCCGGCCGTTATCCGTGCTTATGATGTCGCCGTCGATGTGCACTACACCAGTGTGAGGAATTTGGAGGTTCGTGAATGGAGGCATGTTGGTACTCGTTTGCCATTTCCAGTATCACTGCTGAAGTGTCAGAGTATCACACATCTACACATTTTGCGCTGTACCTATCATTGGCAGCAGATCCTGGCAGTTGTGAAATCATCACACATGCATCTGGAGGTAATCCGTCTGCAGGATTGTCATCTCACTGACACCAGTATGCCCTCACACCCAGCCAGTGCACAACCGTTGCATGCTGAACACAGTGGAACAGCTACAACGCCTGGCCATGGCGATCGCATCCCTGCGGTGCTCCTGGCTGAGGCGCTTGTCGATAGTCGTTGCCTCAAATGGTTCAATCTTTTCCGCTGCATAGGCATCGGTGGGCATGGTTCTCATGCTATCTGCAAGGCCTTGCGTCACTCGACACATTTATCATCCTTGCAACTCTACACGTACAAGTCAGGGCACCTTTCGTGCATCGATGTTTTGGCGGAAAATCTGCGTAGTGCATGGCCTGAGATAGTGCATCTTGCAGTCAATTTTGGTGGAGGCTCGGAGGAGCTGGAGGCGCTATCCGACTCCGCCGTCTCTGCATTCTTGCATGCCGTCAACGCACACACATCACTCCAGGGACTTGTGATGCATGCCAGTGAACAGCAGCACCGTACGGATGCCTACCAACGTCTCCTGAGCAAGGACTCTTACAGATCTACCTTACGGTTTGCCGGAGGGATTTGTTTGTCCCAGTAACATTCAAACGGAGTTGTGAAATTTACGATTGTCCGTTCCATGCCTGGACTGTGTGCACTCAAAGTGCGCCTCTGCATTCTTGCATGCTGTCAACGTGTGCACCTCATGCACTACGGTGAAATGTGATTAGCGACAATCCATGTTAATGCCGTACGGTCGGTATACGGATGCCTTGCAACATCTTCTCAGCAGGAACTCTTACCGGTCTCGATAGTTAAACTGGATTGTCAGAAGTAGTTTCGCATTCTCTCCGTGTTCCACTGCAACAGTACTCACAGTAACAACTAGCACAATATTTATTTGGACGTTTAATAACTTGAGCCTTGAAAACGTTTACCGGTAAAATCCAAACAAGTTGAGAAATTTACATTTCCCCGTTCCATACCTGGACTGTTTGCTCCCAAAGATAGCGCCATATCCTGAGCTGTGGTGGCCAGCCCAAGATTTTATTGTTTTCTCTTAGTTCATTGCAGTAACCCACCCTGGTAGTACATATAATTATATATGTCGGCATTATTTGTACTATCTTTCATAGCCTCATTCCAGTCCGGAGCTTTGTCAAAGGTGCGTGTATTGTGATATAGTGAGGAAGGAGAGAGAGAGAGAGAGAGAGAGAGAGAGAGAGAGAGAGAGAGAGAGAGAGAGAGAGAGAGAGAGAGAGAGAGAGAGAGAGAGAGAGAGAGAGAGAGAGAGAGAGAGAGAGAGAGAGAGAGAGAGAGAGAGAGAGACAGACAGACAGACAGACAGACAGACAGAGACCACTTGCTTGTGGGCCCTGACTCTGCCGGGTATGTTCACGTACAAGAAAGCCCATACCAGGGAGTCGTAAAATACCGCGGCATTTACGACCGACCCGCTGGTCCATGCATAGTGTGCATTAGTGGTGCGGCTACCGGATGCGTAGCCGTGATTTCTACGATGGTGCTGGTTTAGGGTGCATGCGAGCTACATGAAATTCCATACCAGGGAGTCGTAAAATACGGCGGGTTTTATGACTCGCTGGTCCATAAATAGCGTGCATTAGTGGTGCGGCTAACCGAATACGTAGACGGGATTTCTACGATGGTGCTGGCTCAGGGTGCATGCGAGATACATGAAAGTCCATACCAGGGATTCTTAATTAAAGGGGAAGTATACCCTAAAATCAAATTTTCACCAGTTGTAGTCTTCTGGGTGCTGAGTCGAATGGTCTTGGTCCGAGGATCTAGCTAGGAAGCTGCGACGCTCCCTTCTTACTTGAATCCCAATCGAACTCGCGCACTTCCACCGAAACTGGGTGACTGCGCCCAACTAGATGGGGATTTGTATGCAAAATCTCACTAAAAGTGCTATGTCGTTCTTATAAAAGCACGGATGACCGCGATTGGCCCATATGTTGTAGCAAGAGTAGATAAACAAGAGTGTGCAACTCCGGATCTCTCCTGCACAATCTGCAGATACCCCGCGCCCAAGGCGGAATTTTTTGTTTACGTCACCTTTTTTCAGAGAAACGCGGATTTTGCCGCAGAGCAGTGTGAGAGCACGTGCTGGGCACCGACCTTGTAGTGTAAAGCCCAGCCAAGTGCACGAGGGAAAACTCTCCAAAAGGCTCGCAGCGCGTGCGTCGTCGAAAAGATTACGTCAACAAAAAATTCCGCCGTGGGCCAACCCATCCGCGAGTTGCACACTCTTGTTTAGGCCATGGTAAAAAAATTAATATCTTTGATTCTCAAGTACGCGCGCATCGATTTTTGGTGGCGCACCGACGATTTTTTTTATTTCTATGCATGCATATGCGTGCATGAAAACGGTCAATGCGAAAGGCATGAATCCGGGAGTAGTAAAATACCGGTATTTTTCTACTCCCTGGCCTGAATAATAAAATAATTATAAATTAATTATGAATCTGTGACGTACACATGTGTGACCCTATCTTTGGAAATAAAAAAATTGTGGGAATTAAAATAAAAAATCGCTCGCTCGCACCGATTTTCACAGGCTCATGACCTGAGAATCAACTTTATTTTTTACCATGGCCTTATCTACTCTTGGTTGTAGTCTTTTGGACGCTGAGTCGACTGGTTTTGGTCCGAAAAGGCTGCGATG